CACTCCTAGCAATCAGTCTCTATCAGCATTTAGTAAATCCCCCCAAAATGAGGGCTACCTGCCCAGTATTTATGCAGGTCTCCCACCTGGTGGACACTCCCCTAGGGGACCAAATGGGAGACTGTGATAAAGGACAGACAAGTAGACAAATAGGACACACAGTCACAGTATATTCCCACAATGCATCCTGGCTTCCTTCCCTCTGCCCTGGGAGATAATTGAGAAGTAATTCAATTATCTCCCAAGACAAAGGCAAATCGCCATTATGCATGTGGGGATACTAAAACAGGAATTACTATTAAAATACACCATGTAAGACACATTACATTAAAACTATACATTTAACATATCCCCAGATAGCTCAGGTCTGAGCGCACATTATTAAGCGAATGGCGCTCAGACCACACGAATACAGTGTAATCGCCATGGAGCCAAAGTCTTTACACAGTCAGTTTCATGCGAATGGGCTCCATGGGATTCCTATCTGGGGTATAACATAGACAAGTAAAACTACCGAACACCGGCCGTTTGTGAACTTCCACCGAACAAGAAGGGAGGTCAGCGGCTTCAGCGGTGTTCGCGCAAACCTGTGTCCGATTTTAGTTCCATGAATTAAGCGTCGAACACCGCTGTGCATTCGTATGTTTAAAATGACTGCGTCATCGTGTTCGGGATACGAATGGTGGCCACCCAGCATTTGTCAATTAAGCTGCGGTTAACCGCAGCCTTAGGGAGGTTAATTGCCGGCACACTCCAGCTCCCAGGTGGTCTATTCATTCGTGCGGTTGTTCGGTAGATTGAATCTACCTGAACAACTGGCAGAAAAGCACGAATAAAGCTTTTCTGCAGGCGAAACAAAGTCTTTTAACATGGGGCCATAGTCCAAAGGCAGCAGGCGAGCAACCAGGCTTCTCCAATGCAATGTGGCGAGATTGGTCTCGCCACACAGGGGTATATCCACTAAACAGCCCGTTACGTTACTCTGACAGCTGACACATATAGACTGAAACTGTCTTCAGGTAAAAGATACAGAGATGAAGAGAGTGACAGAGAGATATGAAAGATCACTCACTAATTTATAAAATTATATCCAAAGGCACAAATTCAGCTAATTAGCCAAGCGGTGACGAGAGCTCAGTTACAGCTTGTTTTTAAAATTAACTATTTCAGCCCGGATTTTACCATTCAGAACTCAATTTACTACAACGCAGAGTTTGCTGAATTCACCCCGACGAAAGAGAGAAAGAGAAATATAATGCAATGAAAGTGAAAGGGCCCCCGGGCTTCCAAACTAGCGATGGGACCTCTGAAGAGGATGATTTGGGGGGAAGAATAGAGAACGTGAGAGCGAGGTGAGAGATAACTGAGAGCACAGAGAGATTGGATAAACAGGGCCAAGCTCGGTAAACTAAGCGCCGCTGGGTGACTGGGCAGGAAATAATCAGGAATGATACGTCTCTGGTAGAGACCGCGCTGAGCCCAGCTATAATCTAATCATTCCTAAAGTGCTGGAATTTTCACTCTCTGAAAACAAGTGATAACGTTGTGTGTGTGATACCAGGAATAATACAGCACAGAAGGAGGTTGTATTCACTAAGGAGGAGATTGTACCTAATAAAGGGCCATTTAACCCGAACA